GGTGTTCTTAACACTAATGATAATGATTTAATTGCAATTAAGGTAGATAATCTTTTACTAAAAAAAAAAAATGCTTCATAATCAATAATTATAATTTACAATTGACAAATTAATAATTAATAATTAATAATTAATAATTTTAATAATTTATCATGTTCTATAGGATACTCTCCTGCTTCTTGAACCTCTAGAAAAAGCCACAAAACATCTTTCGGCATCATCTTATCCAACCATGGGTGATACTCAATTTGTTTTTAAACACATCCAAACGTATCTAGATGAAAAAATTGGAGAAGACGGGTTCACACAATCTGAAATGGCTGCTTCAATATCCCAGAAAATTGAAGAATATTGGGAAATTATGGATCGCTCTTCAATTGCCTCAGCAATCTTAGACCCCCGAATTAAGCTTTCTGCTTTTTCAGAAGATGCAAGTCAAAATGCTCGTGCACATATTAAAACAATTTTTGAAACTTACCAGGAGAATTTTTCTAATATATCATCTCCTATGAGAAGAACATCAACATCTATGAATGCAAGTCGCCAATATTTCATACGACTTTGTCAAGGCACCACTCCACAAACTTCATCTGTAATTCCCTCAACATCTTCAGTATCAGAGTTAGATCGCTATCTTGGATTGCAGAGAGATGAAGATACAGATCCTCTCTTATGGTGGCAGGCACATGCCAAAGAGTACCCAAATGTAAGTAATATGGCGAGAGATTATCTTGCCATTCAAGCAACAAGTGTTCCATCGGAGCAGGCTTTCTCTGTTGCTGGAAATACAATTAGCAAAACACGAAATCGCTTGTTGCCAGAAACTGCAAGAGCCTGTTTGTGTATGAAAAGCTGGATAGTAAATAAAATAGGAGAATAAAATGCATAAATTTTTTTCTTTTTTTTTGTATATATATTAAAGATATACTTATCATTACTTTTCTCTCCTTTAATTCTTTATACTTTAGTTTCTTTTATTTTTTCATTTGTTTATTCATTTGTTTTTTCGTTTGTTTATTATTTTATTATTATATATATATATTTTCATTTAATAAAAAATTTGTCAAAGAAAAAATTTCACGTGATATATTCAAAGATCTTTCCTTAAAAAGAAAGATCATCCAACAGAGCGGCTCCAGAGCCGCTCCTCAGCTCTATATCGGTTCGGCTCCAGAGCCGCTCAGGAGCGGCTCCTTAATGGAACCGCCCCATCCCTATCTAGAACTATAGTAACAAATGTAAATCAATTCCTGTTTAGGTTATTGCCAAATAATATGAAGTAGAAATTAAAAAATATATATTACATATTACTATTACATACTAATACTTTCTCACGATATATATATTTTAAACTTATCATGACTTGCCAAAGTGCAATTTGGAAACATTTTAAACATATTTGGTAATGTTGATGGTTATAAGCGATTACGTTTTGAATGTCGATATTGCAAAAGCTCAAATATCAATGTGCTAGCCCAGTATCTAGATGTGAAACCTTTACGCCTTTGTTCAAATGCCACATGCAAACTAAAAGAAATTATTTTAGAGAACATTTTGATACTTCAAATACTAGTATACAGATAAATTGCAACGTAATTGAGAAATTGAATGAAAATTTTATTTAAAAGTGAAAGCAGTTTGATTCATTCAATATAATTAATGATTCAATTAAATATCTAAATCAAACCTTTAGTGTATAAAAAGTGTAAGTTGAATAAATTTAAATTTAATTGCCAAATAATTTTTGTATTCCATTTTGAAAAATCATCCAATCAAATTTCAAACTACTGTCGCACTGTATGTATGGTGACATTTTTCAGACAAAACGGTCAATGTATGGAGCGAAAAAATTGATCATGAAAATACTGTTACATTGCTCAGGTATAGGATTGAAGGTTGACCAACAAAACGTTGCAGTATCGTCAACAACAAGTGGAACCAAGTGATTACTGAAAAAGAGGCTTTAATAATCGTTGATAAAATAAAAAAGGTATATATATCTTGATCTAATATATATATTTAACTTTATTAAACATAAAACTTAATTATTACTAGGTCTATGTTTTGGAGAGCAAAGGATTAGTGCAATGAACGATGTTTGCCATGTTGTCAGATTATGATACGGTCTTTTATTACAAGCCTACAATGAAGGTTTACCAGACCCAAGGACTATCTATATAACCAAATAAATAAAAATTCAAAAGTTAGGGAATGAGTTACTCTTTTAGTTGGAAAATTTGGTATGTCAGTGTAAGATACAAGGATATTATTTAGCTATAAATCATTAAGAAACGATATGGTTCACAAGGATTGCTTGAACAGAGGTGAAAATGCGCAAATACTTTCAACCAAAAGTTTTTTTGAAAGATGCACAAAGCGGGTATATAGGAGTAAATAATGTTATATCTTCTAATAAATAATGTATTGAAATAAGAACAAATAAAAACCAGCTATTTTATTGAATGGTTAATTTCATGCAGTGATATGATCATTACCAACATTTTGTTTAGTTCTTATCCTTTCAATGTAAATTTATTAAAATTTTGAATGATCGAAGGGAAATATCTTATAAAAATGAGAATTTTGCTATTTTTGCTGTAAATATGACCCAGATTTAATGCTCTCCAACATTTCAAAAGCTTTACTAAATAGCTCAACAGCCTATGAACTTCTAAAATGATTTCCACATAAGTTTGTTATCCTGTGACAATTATTCCTGTGGTACATCAGAAAACTGACAAATTTAACAGCTCATATCTTTGTAAGTAAATATAATTTTTCCTTAACTGCTAGATCACGAATTAACTTCTTATCTTCCGAGCTGAATAGAACCCAGGTTTTTAACACTTTTGCTCACTATCTGATTGATTTGGTTTCCAAATAGTACATGATGCGCCCAAATACTTGATCGTCTTCCAATAATTTGCTGCCAGTGGTTCTTCAAAAATTAACCAAATTACTTTTAAAATTGTCATTCTAATCCTGAATAATTTGTATTTTAGGTTTTGGATTTTGGAATCTTTGATTTTTGGTTTAGACAACCTTGGGCTCATCAATTAAAGAACTAATTTTAATGTATATCAGGATGATGTAAAATTATTGTCATGCAAAAATCGTATGTAATAGTTACCGCATTCCCCATCATAATCGTATTCAAAAAGGTTCCTGATGCGGTAAAACGCTCTATTTTTTAAAAAGTAGGTAGTGTTTGTAGTTTCCAACCAGAGTTCCAAAAAAAAAGTCGCGAAACTAAATGAAGCCTTTCAAGAACAGAACAGGGTGTTTTCTTAATGGCTCAGCTCATGCTAATGTATTTTATAATAAATCAACAATAAATAAAAAACAAAGTCACGTTATATCGTGTTTATTTATGCCTCATCATCTAACAACGTTCACATGATCACGATTTTTTAGGAATAAGGTGATCATAAAAGATAAAGCTAATTAATTGAAGCATGAGACTATTTGAAACTTTAAACCAATTAAAGCCTGAAACTATTGAAACATGCGTTAATTGATTAATAAATCTATGGATCTTTGAGTTTCTGGTTAAGAAGACATTTATTTATTTACATTTTCCATCATACAATGACTTTCTTTTTATCTCTTGTTTTTATCGCACAATAAATTCACATAGTAAAGCAGGTTGAGTATCATTAACAAATTCTTCAAACCAATTAAACCACAATCTAGTAATTTTTGTTATATTAGATGGTTTTACCATATCAACACGTTTGATTATTGTATCTTCTACTGTTGGCAAATGACCTCGAAATGGCCTCTATTCTTTAACCAAGTCATACACGGTAGGTCATTCAAACTTGTCTCTCTAACATAAAATTTATTATTAATAAAATTTATACTAATAATAAAAATTTTATGTTAAAATTAATTTTTTTATCATAAACACATTTGAAGAATAATAAAGCATATTAATTTTATTAATTAAGAGACTAACTTCTAAACGCGTTAAAAGATTATCATAATTCTTGAGCTGCAACAGTTATCCTATTTTTTATATATCATTATTATTTTTTCAACAAAGCAAGCAATTCAATTGATTTAAATTTAAATTTCACCATTTACAAATAAATTTTTGAAGAAGGTATAGAATGCTTTTTATAAATAATAAAATTGGATAATAGACAAAAGACTATTACTATATATACAGTATATTAATTACAAATAAATTTCAGGGTACTTGTACTATAATCATACTAGTTGAGTTCAAGAGTAGATTAAATATTCTTCTCTTTATAGTTTCTTAAATGATACATATGGATTGATCATTCCTGCTAAAAATGATAATGCTTTATACTAATTGATTCAACCTACCATGAAATCCATGAATTACAGCGTTATTAGAAGCACTTAAAAACAACAAGTGGAGAAAACTAAAAAAGAAACTTTTCCAAAATTAATTAATTGAAAACAAAATTTTCTTCTTATTCACAAGACAAATAAAAATTTTTTTCCTCGCTCATAAACAAAACGTAAATAATCGCTAATTAAGGATTATTTATGGTAAGCTGGTACAACAACAACAACAATAACATACGTCTTCATCTTTGTATATATGAATCTTACTAATTAAAGAAATAAAATAAGCAAAGCAGTTAGTTTCAGAGTTTCATAACAACAATATAAATAAATATTGATGACGATAATCAATCACACAAACAAACACAAGTTTTCCTGTTGCGATTCAAGATCTCTTTCATCACCGAAAATTCAAAGTTTCGGTAATGCAACAACAAATAATCAAAATTTAGAGTTTAGAATCAAAATATTTTATTTTCGTTTACTTAGAATATATATTTATATTTTTTTTTTGATATATTAAAAAAACTTTGTACAAAAAATTTTTTTTAATAAGTTTTAATTTATAAAGAAATATAAATCAAAAATTATTAAAAAAAAAGTCAAAAAAATAAAAATAAAAATAAGAATAAAATAAAAAATTGAAAGATATAAAACGTTAAAAGCTATAATTATGCAAGTCAAGAACATTCTTTCCTGACGTAAATTCTAAAAGTATTAATATAAGAATCATATGAATCAACTTCTCTCTCATAACTCTCCATCAATTCATCATACTCTTGATCTGTTATGCCCATTGATGATGATAAATTTAAAATTTGCCATATATTGCACAATCCTTCTAATGCCATTTTGCCAAGACTTCCTGAACGATTTCCAACTGGGATTGGTTTGATTTCTTGTGTAATATTCGACAAATTATTACTATTGGTTGATGTTGAAAGGATTTCCACAATATTTGGAGTTTTGTTATTTATATTTAAATTAAAATTTTCATCAAAACACGTCGTTACTGGTTGAAACAATAGGAATAAAAAAATTATCAATCATTGATTAACCAATTAATTAATCAATAATATAATTAAAAATTAATAAAAATATTTACGAGCTTCAAATAACTTTTGAGATATTGGGCCTTGGTTGCAATGGTTTAGATCGACCTTCATAATTTCCAAGTAACCGGTAGGCTTTAAAATTCTTATTATTTCATTGACGAATGCCTGAACATGATTTTTTTCAGCAAATGGCAATAGAATTATTTTCATATGAATAAAATCGAAACTTTCATCTTCAAATGGAAGTCCACTCATGTAATCGCACTGCATGAATCTGCAGTTATGCGGCATCACGTCTTTTGGATACAACGGAACCACCTCAATGGCTTCTATTCCGGTGAATTTTGATAAAGGATATTCGGTCCCCATTTCTAGACACCAAGTTGCTGGTCCAGTTCTATTAATAATGACAATAGTAATAATCGCTGTTATTTGCTTGTATTATGTAATTAAATTTATTTTCAATAAATTTATTTTTAATAAATTGATTTTTAATAATAAAAAATTATTAATAATTACCCAATCTCAAGAACATTAGCATTACCATCTCTCAACATTTTTTCAACTGGTGCTGAGAAATTGGATCGCCAGGAAGATTTGAAAAGATAATGCTGTAAATGTAAAGCATCAGCTTCTTTATAATCAATTGTGTAATCTTCGCGAATTGATCTTTGGTCGAGCCTTTTTTTTGTTAAAATTTGGGTTGATATAGGCATTTTTAGAAAGGTTTGTTATTAATGGATTGTAAGAAAGGTAAAAAAAAAAAAAAATAATAATATAATATAATAATTATAATAAATATTATTATTATTGATTGAATTGTTTAGTAAAATTTTTGAAAAAAAAAACGGGAAGAAATTCATGGTATTTTTATAAGGATTATAAGCATAAATAATTATATAGTTCTTTTCTGTGCTAATGTTTATTCATTAAAATACAGTTTTTTTCCCAAATAAATAATTGAATCTATATTCTTAATTCACGCGCTCGCCGATCAACTAATATAATGAACGCACCATTTGGACAGATATAAGTAAATAATTCATGTATAATAAACAACAAACAGAAAAAATTAAATGAATATAATGCGTCCTATAATGGTAATTATTCCTTATAACATCCAAACATAGAAAAAAAACCATAGTATTATTTGTAGATATGGATCATGATTACGATAGGTTTAAGCTTTATAAAAAATATCAACAAAATATCAACAATAAAAAATCTAGACCGGCCATTTTAATCATTATTATATTATTATTATTATCGTCAGTATTATATCATTATTAACGAATAAAATAAAAGTTACCCTTTTTTGTGAAATATATAAGTATTCAGTTGTTATTAATTTGGGCAAGGGGGGTTTTTCCAAGAAAAGATGTTTAAACTAAATATGTATAACCGATTGTTAATATTAACCTTGCAAAAAATTCCAATTACATTAATTACATTATAAAATTTTTTTGGTAAAACATTAAAATTGTCTCTTAATATGGTCTAGAATGATGCTATGGCTAAACAAAGCCACAAAAGTTTTAGAACTGTTTCACTGCATGCGGGCATGTGAACAATCTTTCCGAAGGGTCGATCTTCATCATATATTAATATACGTACCGTCTGTAGGGATGACCTGCTCTGAAATGTAAATAAAATAAAACCAGAAATATCTATCGGAAAATTAAAGGTAGCTTTGTGCGAGGTATAAAGAGAAAGCTAGAAAATACGTGTTTAGGAAGTTTCCACGTCACACACATTTATATACTGCTACTACAGTGGACGAAAGTCATTAATTATTATTAGCTCTCCAAATGGGATCTCCAAAAAAAAATAATTGCACCAAGTAATTATTTAGAAAATTCATTAGATTTTTTATTTTTAAACTTTCTTATAACATAGTTCTCTCTATTTCATTGGTTAAAATGCTTGCACGTGATATTTCCACATTTTACTGGACAAATTCGTACCACCGTACAAAAAATCATAATATTAATTGTTTAGATTTACTCATTTTGGAACAAGTCTAGATCAGATTCGTATAACTTATAACTATCCAATCATTTTTGAATTTAGTCATTTGTTTTACAAATCACACATACACTTGAATTTTATTAGTGTGTAAAAAAAAAAGATAAAGATTTAATCTAGATTTCAATAATATTATTTAAAAATAAATAAATATTTTTGTTTTCTATTAATTTCCTAATTCATCTCTGCTGATTTCAAAATAATCATTTATTTCTATGTTTGGCCTATATTTATTGAAAAATATCTTTAATCGATTGGTGAATGTTTCATTATCAATGGATTCTCTAATATTTTTAAAAAATGTAGAGTAATGATACAAATTATGGCTAATTAAAGAATATTTGATGAGAAATATTAATTTTAGCATATTAATATTAATATTAATGATGATGATGATGATGATGATTTTAAATTACCTCATTAATAAAACAGTCGCCAACATTTCATGAGTAATTAATAAATGATGCAAGTAAGCTTTCGTATGATTTTGGCATGCATAACATTTACATGAATCTGAAACCGGTGCAAAATCATTACGATACTTTACATCCCATAAATCTATATAATATTTTTCTTCTGTTATTTCATCATTATCATCATTGTAAAATGTGAAAGTCAGTGCATGACCTGAATTTGTGAGTCTTGTTGGGTAACATGTATCAAACAAATCTATCCCTTTATATATTCCAAGGAGTATTTCTTCTATAATATATATTTAATAAAATTAATTGATTAACAATATACAGCCCACTCATTCCAAGTGCACCCCCCTAAATGTACGCTCTCATACAATCTCAAGTGGGTGCGCTTAGATGGATATATAAATACATAATATGAATATTATAATATATTAAATAAAACCTGGACTTTCAAATCCATATGCTAAACGAGGTTTATTTATTGGTAAATGTCTAAACGATTCTTTTATTAGATCAATCCATTTTTTCGAAGGTTTTTCATCACCATTATCATTGGTATTGTTTTTACTATTGATGAAGTCATTTATCACAAATCCTAAATAGAATATGTAATATTGTTATTAATATTTATTAAATTTTCTAAAAAATATAACAATAATCAATTTGCTTGTCGTAATACCATCTACATTAAAATTATTGATCTCTTTGATAAATCTTACTCTCTCTTCTAAGTTATTATATCCACCTAATACTCCAAAAATATTTATTCCTTCCTAAATATTAAAAATTTTTTTCATTAAATAACAATAACAGTAACAACAACAACAACAACATGATGATTATTATTTTTTAGTTGCCTCCTTTTGTTTCAATGTGTCTTCCAACCATTTCAATGTTCTATTTACAGATTTTTTTATTCTCTTCAAACTTGGATTGGGTATTGCAATATCATCAGACATGCTAATAAATATATCCGGTTTATATGCATTCATATATTTCACATATTCTTCTTGTGTGAGCTATTTCATAAATAAATTTAAATCTAAAATATCAACATTATAAATATATACGTGCATGCATGTTTATATGATTTACCTTTTTAACCCCTTGATTTGTATTAACAGAAATACTATTATCAGTGTTGAATGGCGCTTCCTCTAAATTAAAAGAATCTCTAATATCAAAGAGTACTAAATACTCTTCTAAATTTAAAAATTTATGAATTCCACCAGAGAATTCAATTGAAGGTGGTGGTCGTACATGAAGACTAAATATATAAAATATATAATGCAGTTGTAATTGTATGTACAAACATGTTTCTTTAAAATAATTTTGATAATAATGTAACTCACAAATGTTCTAATGTTATTTTAACGGCATCGAAAGGTAATAATCTTAATGTGTCTGGTGTCAAGTGTGGCACTGAACCTTTACTTGTATAAAGTATACAATTTGGTGTATCTAGTTTTTTTGATTCTTTGTTTTTGTTTAATGTTAATCTACCCAGTCTAAACAGTTGTTCTGTTGATTTTAATAAATTAAACGATAACATCTTGCGTGGAAGTTTGTTGTTGTTACACGAAATGTTATGTAGAACCCATTCATTGCTACCTCTCAAATCCAGTTTATCGCGTGTATTGTAAAGTTACGTTGCACAATATAAAAAATTAGTGTAACATTTCAAATTTCTACTAATGCATAAATGGACTAATATTTAAGGGAAGTGTAACACAAATTTTTATTGACACTCCAGTGTATAATTAATATATACAAAAATAAAATTCATTTTATTGAAGGTAGTAATTTTTCGTGGAAATATCGAAATTTCTTTTTTGCTTTAGAAATAAATATTAAAATTCCCTGTTTTTTTTTACTAAATAATTAATTCATTATCGAAAGTTAGATGTGTTAACACCACGATTTATTTTTAAATAGGGAAACATGAGAAGGAGCAGGAAAATATTTGTTACGATAATAATAACATAATAACCTATTTATTTTATTCTTGGGGTGACATTGTTAATTTTTGTCAATGTTAAAAAAAGCAAGCGGAAGGAGAATGTTATATTAAATATTTTCTAGTGGCCAAATAATAGTTAATTGTTGAACTTATTTTTTACCTTCTTGTTAATCCACTTCATCCAATATGTAAAATAGAAAGATTTATTAATCTTGTTATCATTTTCCACTACCATTATCCTTCAACTCGCCTAGTTGATAGTCAATGCTAATGCACTGGAAATACTCGATATTTTTAAATTAGAATGTTTTTTAATGAAACAAGGCCGTTTTATAGAATTTAATCTAATACAGTAATACTCCTTTGTTGGCAAAGGCGGTAAAACAAAATTATTTCAAGATTTAATAATATATTTAATATTTATTTAAACTGTTATATATAGATTATATGTAATTTGAAAACTACTTTTGACTTTACAAGTTTTTTTTAAAAGAACCTTTTAACAAGATATTGAATTTTTTTATTATTACTATATATACGTAAAACATCTTACCAAAACGAGTTTTTGATATAGCCAGTCGATCACTATTTAAAATCACACGATTTTCATAATAATACTAATACTAATCGTTGATTGAAATCGAAATTCTATTGGTTAATCAAGTAGATGCTACGCCCTACATGCCATGTTTAATGTGATTTCCAATTTTGGAGAATTAAGGATGGAAAATTTTTTTTCTATTAAATAAATAATAAAAAAAAGTATGGATGAACAAATTTCTTTAAGAGCAGTAGCTAATTACTTGGAAAGAGAGGGTGTTTTTGCAATGACAGCAAAAAGAGTTCTTTGGACTCCAAGTAATGAATCAAAACCAGTAGTAAATTCTTTCATTTCTACAATACAAAGTAATTTGATCAATATGGCTTTTTTTCTTTTTGCATGAATGTGAATATGGAGAGAATCAATAAATAATCATTTTCTTATTTTGCTTCTAGGAATATTTTTTGTTAAAGAAGATTCAGCTGAACCAAAATTTAAGATTATTGCAGTAAATCAAAATAATAATAGTGGTGGTGGCAGTAATAATGATAATAATTCATCTGATCCACAAAATTTTACATTTACACTAAAACCACCAGCAGGTTGGGATGAATTAAAGAAAATAAAAGCAGAATTAACAGAAAGTATACAACGTGAACGATCTGTCGTTGTTGTAACATCTTCCTCAAAATCTTCAGCCTCATCACCAGTCTATCAACGTTCAGCTGCCCCATCACCAGCTTCTGGCTCATCGTCTCCTGCTACACGAAA